GCCGCGTAGGTGCCAAAGATTGCCTTCTAACAGAGCCGTGGGCAGGTTCCCACCTCCCCCTGCCACTACGAAACGTCCTGCTGAGCGTGGAGAACGAGGAGGAGAGAGAAGAAAGCCCCCCCCCGAAGGCGGCCAAAGCAAAAAGCAAACAGAATCCAAACGGCTCGTGTTTTAGTGGTTGACTTTAATTCTGCACTGCACTTTTACTACAAGGATATAAAGAATAAATAGCAGATACTCTTCATTTACATAGGATTAAGTCATTCAGACTGTTCTCTCTATTTACAATAACATTGTGCTCTAGGCGTTTATTCTTTATTTTAAATCTAAAGTCCATAAGGAAAAAGAAAAAAAACCAAAACAAAACAACCCACACACACGCTTTCCGAATAATGGAAAATAGCTTTAAAACGTTTTCTTATCAAAAAGTTTGGTTTGTATTTTTTAATCCTTTTATTAAAAAAAAAAAAACAACAACAAAAAAACCCCAACAAAAAACCTACTTCGCCAAAGCGAAGCAACTTCTCTCTGGAATATAAATACCAAAAAAAAAAAAAAGATACATTAGCAACGATCAGGGTAATAGTCTTAAAAATACAGTAGACGCTGATTATTTCACGTATAATACTGACCTTTTAATAGTATATTAAAACGGTGCCATATATACACACAATATACATTCTCCTACACGTTACAGTGCATTACAACGTTAACCAGAAAGCAAATGTCTTTATTTCTGTTGCAGCAAAGGTCCACGTGAGTCCGCTGGAGAAGGGGCGAGAAAAGGTAAGTGCAAGCCCTAGCAGGAGCACTTGCACTCCGAAATGATGGGGTACTGGATGGGTATCCATGTGCACCTCTGCCCGCCCCGGCGCTGGCACCTCCACCTCAGGATCGTTAAATGCACGGACTTGGCAGGTTTGCAAACCATGCCTTCTGGGACTGAACAAGACCTTTTACTGTAGCAGCTGCCCACTTTGACATACCGGGGCCAAAAGCGGCTGCCGAGATCGTTCCACGTGTATAGGACCGGGCAGAAGGTCTGGGACCAGAGCCACATCTGCAGCTTCCTGCGCAGCTTCTTGCTCAGCCTGTGCTTCTTGCCCGGCTGCAGCCCGTCGTAGAACTCCAGCCCTTTGATTTCGCTGGGCATCGCTCCCGAGGGTCTCTGCCTGAGCAGCAAGTCCAGCTCCCCAAAGCCGGTCTTCAGGCAAGGAAATAGCCATAAAGTTAGGGTCGAAGTGTCCGCCCATGAGGTTCCTTAGCAAGGTCTCGTTAAGATCCTTCTCCTTGGGGTCAAAGATAGGGTCCGGGTGCTCGATTAGATCCACCAAGGGCAAGTTGTCGCTGGGAGCCGGTCGGATGTGCAGATAGTGCTGGCAGGCGCCTTGCTCTAGCCGGAGACCCAGCAGAACCACGAAGGCGTATATAGTCACAAGGCACTGGGAATGATCCATCCTTGGGAGACCGGTGGGGGGGGGAGAAGGGGGCTGGGTTCACCAAACAGCAGGGGAAGAAGGTGCAAGCAAATACATCAGAAAACTTGTACGGGGATATCCAAAATAGCTTGTCTTTAAGGGGGATCACCTCCACTCCCCGCACCACCAGCAAAGACAGCCCCCTAATAAGCCCGGAGAACAAGCCCCCTGCAAACACTCTCTCTTGCAGGCTTCTCTATAAAATTTCTCCTGGTGGAGCCGCTCCAAAATTTCCATACACTAAGGAAATGTACTGGTC